GGCTTGAAGCCACAGAATCCTCCCTCCTCGCTGCCTGGACCCTCATTTCCCAAAGCACTTGCAACCCGCTCGCTCACCTGTGGGCGATTCTGGGCCCTGAAGTGTGAGCAGCAGCTTGGAGAGGGAGGCCTTCCTCTCCCAGGAGCTCAGGTGTCAGTTCCTCTCAGCATGGCCAGTGGCAGCTTCAAGCCCATAGGCATAGGTGGGACCCGCCAGAAGCTCAGCTTCCCAGTGTCCAAAATGGGAACAGAATGCTGACCCTGCGGGTGGTGGTGAGGAGAGTGGAAGGGGTGTGTTCTCTCCCAGGCTGTGCTCAGCCTGCACATTCCCCAGGGCCTGCCCGCTGTCCTCACTGATGTGGGGGCACCTGCACCAGGTGTCAGGGGTGCAGAGCCAAAGGGGCCGTCTCTATGCTCAGATGCTTGTTATCTATGGAGGGAAACACCCACAAAAGTCAGTACAATTCCCTGTTGGCCACAACAGAAATGCGGGGAAAGTACCACTGAAGGAGGGTCGCCCAGGCCTTCTCCTGGGGCCTGAGTCTGGGCTGGTTGCCCTGAGGAGCCAGGTGAGCTCGTGGGTGTGGCCTGTGCAGCTTCCCGCCCCACGGGCTCTGAGACAGGGTGCTGGCCAACCCCTCTGATAGAGGAGACCCAGGGAATCACCTCATCTTCTGACTGTGAAGGCTTCCCTCTAGGAGAGATGGTAGCTTCAGAGAACCAGGAAGGAGGCAGAGGTCACCAGGAGGGCAATGGGGTGGGAGTGGTGGCAGAGGAGCAACCTAAGTGATTTCAGCACAGCCCCGAGGGCAGATGGGGCAGGGATCTTGAGTAAGTGTTGGTCAAATGGACACAAGCCTGGCGTGCAGTGGGCACTCCCCCCACCACAACCCTCCCACAGCCCCGAGCTCAGCCCTTTGCTCCTTTCTTGGCCTCCCTCACGAGACCCTGTGGCCGAGGATGCAGACCAGGGGTCCTCAAATTATGGCCCGTGGGCTACAGGCAAATACAAATATTGTATTTGTTCCTGTTTAGGTTTTTTACTTCAAAATAAGATATGTGCAGTGTGCATAGGAATTTGTTCATAGTTTTTTTTTTTTAAACTATAGTCAGGCCCTCCAACGGTCTGAGGTTTTAAACAAGTGAACTTGCCCCTTGTTTAGAAAGTTTGAGGACCCCTGATACAGAGCTTCCAGCTCCCCACAGGCTCTATGAGCAGGGGCGCTATGTACGGTTCTTGCTGCTCTGTGATTCGCCTGCACCCTTTGACCACTGGTATTCTCTTCCTTTTGTGCCCAGGGATTGACTTGCGGCACCCCCAGGGGATCACCGGTCAAGCCTGGTTCCATGGGGAAAGCCATCA